CGTCGAATGAAACGCATTACGCAAGCTTGTGATTGGTCAGGACGCTGCTGTTGTTTACAGCGCCGCCGTTGCAAAGAGAGCCGAGGATAACTAGCGGCAGACACGGAGAAGCTTGAAGAATACCTCGCGAAAAAACTCTAAAAATATGAACGTTTCATTCTCCCGTGACTGGAGGAGTGAAAAGATGCGCAGCAAGCGTTTTATTTGGGGACGGAAATGACAGGAAACGTGGGTTTAGAGGTGGGGAGCGCATGAAGAGGTGGGAGAATGAGAGACAAAAATGTCCGTGTTAAAAGTCTCTTATGTACACATAAAACACAATATAAACACACGATCTTGGACCGATACATTACAGCACATATGTCAGAGTCAAGGCCCGCGGGCCAGATGCGGCCCGCGGAGCATTTTTATGTGGCCCGCGAGATAAATATCAAAAATATATTAAAACTGGCCCGCTGGCCGATTTTACCGCAAAGACTTCAACTCCCATGATGCTTTGCGGCGTCAGCGCGGAGGCGCCGCGCCCCCTCCTTTGTGTTTTTTTCCAGCCCGAGGCAGTCAGGGGTAGTTGGGTGTCTGCAGCTCCGCTGTCTCGGACAAACTACGCTCCTCTCACTCAGCGCCGAGTTCACTCAGCTGTTTTCTGACGTTGAAGCCCAGAAACGGAGATTCTAGCCGCTCAGTAATGTGTTCACGACTGAAAGAGAAAGTTTTCCAACTAACGTCCAGACAGAGCCGATATAACTCCAGCGAGCAGCGACACGCTCAAACCAGCACGACTCTGTGGTTGCTGTCGTTGTGTTTCCTCCCCGACACACAACATTGTGGTCAAGCTGCTCAGACATGTTCATCAGCACAAACCTATGTGAGCACCTGTTGTCATCTAATGTTGTCATTATTATGATGAAGATGAACAAAACAACAGGAGTCTCCTCCTCAGCTCAGATCAACCCCATGATGCAGGTATCTGGCTGGAACAGGTGAGCATCACAGTAAACCAGTGGAGCAAACTGAGCTTTAAATATGTTGGATTTCTGCTCTTTTTCTGCTCCAAAACATGAAAGTTAACAGGTGAGATGTTGCATTTTCATTTAAGATAAAATGATATTTTTATTTTGTTGTTGGCCCGTGAGAAAAGATTTAACCTACAGTAAACAGGAAGTGGAAAGGCTGCAGATAGATGAATAGAATAGAAAATCCCTTTATTGTTCCTCAGTGGGGAAAGCTAGACGTCACAGCAGCGATGACACTTATTACAGGAGAAAAAAAGGAGAATAAAAAATAAGAAAAATGAATAATCAAGAAAACATAAATCCTGAATAGATTTTAAAAATGCTGATTATACCACAAGTAATGAATACCACTGATGCCTTTTATTTAAAACTGACTTGCTCGTGTGTAATTTGGTTATTCCACATTCAGCGTTAATGCAGAAATAAGTTTGTTTCCAAATTTAAAGGTTCAAAATTGCATATATGTTGATAAAGAAAATGTACAAATTTGCCGTCACTTTTTCAAAAAATATTAAGTTTGGCCCTCGACTCCGTCCCAGAGTTTCATTTCGGCCCCCTGTGAGTTTGAGTTTGACACCCCTGCATTACAGGATACCACAGAACAGCGCTACGCCCTCTGTTGTCCTGCCGGACAATTGTTTTGCAACACTCTCCAGGAGACGGAGAAGTAAAAGAGCAAAACGCTTCCGTCAAGCCGTGCCTGTCTGTCCCTTGCGGAGCTGACGGAGAAGCATAAACCAGGCTTCAGTCCTAGGATGTCTCCCGAGTCACAACAGATAGATGAAATCGTTTGCATCTAGAACAGCTGTAGCATGTAGGTTTTGACAGCTTGTCAAGCAATTCGGTGGTTAGAGAGTTTTCCCCCGGTGGCCAGTCCGGAGTTCTGCTCAAAAACTATCTGGATCACTCCGCAAGTTTCTGTTTTAATATTCCCATTTCATGATTACCTGGCCAATCGGGACATGCCACGTTAAGAGGTGTTAACAAACAACCTGCAGAACATCACGCCTTCTTTCAGATAGAAGGTTCTCTGATTTGTGGGTAAGAACTTATCTACGTGCATGAAATTACTTTAACTTTGTCATCTCGTCATGTATATGAGTGTGTGGCGGATTAGCTTGTCAAGTCGCGTACGCTGATTATCAGACAAATGGATAATTGCAGGACAATATTCATTTCAACCTTATTGAATTAGGCACAGATGAATCAAACATTAATAGTATTATTCATATAACATTTGTTCGTTCAACCATATATTCATTTAATGAATATTTAACTTATGAGTGATAAAAGTTCATCTTTCATGAGAGTGTGCAATCCTGCAGTCTTATCAAAAGAAAGCTTTGTTTGGGAACATAGCCTGACATCTTGTCACCCCTGAAATGTCAACACACACTGCAGAATCTTCTGGCTTGTAGGTAGATAGAATTTAAAATCCACTTAGAGAATGGAATTATGTCTGCAGATGACCGGTGGCATGTAGGTCAATATGTAGGTGAAAAATGACCTTTTCTGGACGTTACATTACATTTTTCTAATAGACCCCACACATTTACTCATGACACTATCGTTAAAGAAAATAAAGGAAACACTGATCAATTGCCGATGCCTAATGGCTTAAATTCAGCTAACCCACTTGTCCTTCCTTCTCTTTGTCTCTCCTCATATTATTTGCCAGATCTGCTTCTTGTGCTTGTCCTACAGTCTGATGCCGACAATGCAACTCTGCTTCCTGCAGGCATTTCATTAAAGCACTAATAACACACTGGTAATTAGGTGACAAAGAGGCCATTTTTATTGTACTGATCAGCTGCTGAGACATGACCCTTAGAGGCTGAGACAGAGGGAGTTTGCCTGTGTGTGTGTATGCATGTGTGTGTGTGTGTGTGTGTGTGTGTGTGTGTGTGCGTGTGTGCGTGCGTGCGTGCGTGCGTGTGTGTGCCACTAAAGAAGTAGTAAAAGCCTTGTTAGATGCTGTTGGATTGAACCAAGGTTAGACGAGACGATCTAAAAGCCTGTGAACAAGACTGGATATGAGATCTGTTTTTATAATTACGGTACTCTTGTATCAGTGAGAATGTATGCATAAAACAAATGTCTTGCATTTTTTAATCCCTGGTTCTCGTCTCTTATTTCTCATCAGTCTCTTTTCTTATTCTATCAGATGGTTCTTGAGCCACCTGAGGCACAGAACAAATAACGTAGCGCAAATGAAATTTCCCGTGAAGCTTATAGATGTCATTAGACACGAGCATACTGAGGCCAAAAATCATTTTAGTTTTCATCAGACCAGCTGACATTTTCGGGGAATTAGCTGGCGGTGGTTTGACGGGGGGGGGGGGGGGGGGGGGGGGGGGGCTTGGTGTTGTTTTAACTCCTCGACCCCTCACTTCCAACCCACGCAGACACGGGGTCAAATGGTAGCATCGATCATCTGATCCGGTCTGTCTGCTGGCCTTTGATTGGCCCTCATAAGGCTAATATTTGTCTCACACCCAATCTTGTTTCAGCGTGTTGCTCTTTAGGCGGTAAATCAAGTTAGTATTGAGTTCATTTGGGGCATAAAGATTGTGGCATTAATCTGTTGTGATTATCAGAAGAGTTCATGTTTGATTTTGAATCAAACGCCCCTTTGTTTCAGTACTTGATTAACATTTGGACTTAGCATTTCCGATATACCTAATTTAATTATCTCTTAGTTGACATTTCAATGTATAGATAAAGGGATTGTGATCTGTTGTATTTACACCCTCACTCCAAAACATGTGCAAGGTAAAAAAAAGAAAAAGAAAACCTGACTCTAAAGACCGGTTCTCACGCTGAGACAACGTACTCTTGACTGGTTTTAAGAACAGATTAATAGCATGTAAATGTTTGCTTGGAAAGCCATACTTAGAAAATTGCATATTCTGAAACAGCCGAGTTACTGTCTAAACATTTCACTTTCTATTTTTTTTCACACTGTTTTGATTTCCAGTCAATTCAATTTCATTTATAATCTTTCTGTTAAGTCGGAGTACAGTTCTCCCCATTTTCCACACGCTACTGGCATCCTAGTATCATCCCCTGCACTGGGAGACATGGCAGTCTCTGGTTGATCCTTGTTTGTGTTTGGAGTCAGTCATTTCAGCATGACTGGAGCTCCGACACGCTTTGTAACTGAGGCGCCACCGCTGGCCTTTGGTTTCCTGATTTAGTAAGGCTGATGCTTCAAAAGCGTATGGAAGTAAGACTTCACATCCCAGCATGACAGCATGCTGCTCAGCTTCCTCCATGGTGCATCCACCCAACACAATATTGTTGTGACACGGACGGGACGTGTGGCTTGTCTTACCGTGGGGAAACATCATCAATAGCGGTGCCACGGAATGCCGCTATCGGTTGCCCTCACTGTCATCTGTACGTGAGATTCGAGTTGTCTGTCGCTCTCGCATCTGATCAAGAATTAAAATCTGTTCCACAAAGTGCCTCAGCTGAGCAGGAACGCAGGGTGAAAAGAGAAGGAAAGAGGAACGAAAAACAAGGAAAAGGGAAACGAACGTTGTTAATGTCACTGAACCATGAAAGGCTTGACCTGAGGTAGGAATGGCTTTGTATACAAGGTTCTTTAATGCTGTGGCTGCAGGGATAAACATAACTTACATCAGCCCTTCGCATGTACAGGAGATTTCCTCTCCTGGCACTTACAACACTCCGACTGTACTGTGACACACACACGCATGCACGCACGCACACACACACACACACACACAGCATCAACCTGACTCTTTCAAGTTGCTCTCGTGCACAAACACAAGCACTAGAGGGCAAATGTGGGTTTAGTGTTGTTTTTTTTTGTTTTTGTTTCCACTTGTAAGCACGAATCCGGATGCTGTTGCTTGTTCACACAGTCTGTTTGTTTTTTGCTAGATGGAGTAGATCAACAGCAACAAGAGAATAAAGATCCATTCCACCCAACAACTCGTAATCTTTCATTTTTTCCCACAGATTATCACCGAGTATGTTTACGAGCTGTTGGAGAAGGAGTGTAACATGACTAAAGCAATCCTGCCAGTAAGTACCCGCCGCAAGAAGAGGCATATTTGATTCATGCCCTTGAAGATTAAAGGGGGTTATTAAATATGAAAATGGACCTAAATGCTCAGGCGTCAGAGTGCGATTATCAAATTAGGTGTCCTTTTTAGAAATAAAAATGAATAAATAACGGGATCCAAAGCGGATGGTAGGAAGTCAGCTCTCCCCGATTTGTTATCAGTCTTTATTTTTCTGTCCCCCTCAGTCAGTTTTCCTGTCTTCCTCGCATCCTTTCGTCTGCACACACCCTTTGTGCAAAAGTGTCTCCTCAACAAATTAAACTGTATTGTGATGTGTCATTTCAAAGAGGCACAGCATGCTGACGCTTAATCTGTTTTTCATTCAGTTGCACTGAGGGTGACTTTATACTTTGCCTTTGTGTAGTTATTCTTTGCCCAGCTCATCCAGGCTCAGCGCAGTCTTGATCCCTTTTTATTTGTTGTTGGAAGCTTGTTTGTGGTCCCCCCCCCCCTTTTTTTTACCACTCCATCCCTGCTCTTTTTGTATCTGTTTATAAAAGCAAGGATCATTTTTCAGACCAAGTTTATAGCAATGTTAAGCAGCGCCGGTGTTTAGGAGCACGCAGTAGTCGGCTCTAGCTCTAACGGTGTCCATAAATCACCTAGCCAGAGTCAACGCCTTTCATTAACCCCTATACACATTTCCTGGTTTATCTGCTTGGCCTATTTATGTCATTATTCCTCTGGAAAATTGCTCTCTTATGCTGCCCACCCGCCTGCACGTATATGGAGAGAGAGTGTGTGTGTCATTTAGCGGGTTAGTGGTGGGTCTGTCCACCTGCGTGGCATTGAACTTGTGACCGCAGATTTTAAGAAGATTAACCACGGCCAAGAGTAAGGAGAGGGAATGAAGGAGCACGGGAGAATAAAGGGTAAGATTTTCCCCCTCACTTGGCCCTCTTTGTCTGTTTGGATTAAGTTCTTGCAGCTGCCACCCATGGCTTTTATGGACAGTGTCTCCTTAGAGATTCTTCTAGGCATACTTGAGAGGGATGGAAAGAAGCACGGGACGTGTGAGGAGCAGGGGCACACCCGCAAACACTCACGTATTCACAATCAGTGTTACTTTGCATATAAGAAAACAAAGATCATTTTCTTTTTATTGATCTTTGAAGTAGTGATTCATCGAGCCCGCCCTGCAGAATGTAATCCTTCACAACTCCTTCTGTCTGATGTTCAGGTGGATGCTGAAGGAGATGAACCCACCAGTTTTATCTACCTGAGCCCAGACGCCTTGTCAAACCCTTCCAAACTGCTGGTGCTGATCCAGGGGAGTGGTGTGGTGCGGGCCGGCCAGTGGGCCCGGAGACTGATCATCAACCAGGACCTGAACTCAGGGACCCAGATCCCCTTCATTAGAAGAGCCATGGAGGTAGGGGCTCTACTGGTCTGGTTTTAGGGTGAACACGTTTTCTAATCGGTAACACACTTGTAGGCTCTAATCAAATCAGTTTTGTCTCTCACTGCATTCTGCTTTATCTTTTTTATTTATTTTACATTTTTTGAACTCTGTGTTTTATGATTTAACACATTTTATCATCTAAATTGGATTTCAGGTTCAAATAATTTAATTGAATGTTACAGCTTTCAGCTGCAGCTACCTGGTTTAGCTGTGACTGAGGCCCTGTCCACACGTAGCCGGGGATCTGCCAAAACGTAGATATTTTTCTACGTTTTGGCCTGTCATCCACACGAAAATGGAGTTTTTTCACACGAAAACGGATCTTTTTAAAAACTTCGGCCAAAGTGAAGATCTGCGTTTTCTCCGTTTTGGGTGTCTGCGTGTGGACGGACAAAGCCGGAGTTTTAAGGTCCGCAACGTCACTTTCCGCGACAAAAAAATGCTGACATCACGTGTGCGACCTGTGTTTACACTAGCCGGCATCATGGAAGCCTTCAGAGCTGAGCTCTGTCACTACCCGATCCATCAATTGTCCAAGCGCTTTTTGCTTGTTTGTTTTTACAAGCGGAATTACTGCTCCTTGCGGAAGACCACAGACGAAGGACGAGGTTAAGAACGGGGGAAGTACTGCCACCTACAGGTCTGGCATGTCCTTAACAACGTATTTATCCGGGTACGTGTGGACAGAGTTTGTTTTTAAAACGCGGTGGTGTGGATGCAAGTTTTTGGAGGGGCGGATACTCGTTTTCAAAAAACCCCGGCTATTTGTGGACTAGGCCTGAATATAATATTAATTTGTGGCATATCTTTGCCTAAACAGGTGTTGCTTCATAACTTATCCACGGGTCCTTAAAAAGTCTTAAATTTGCTTTTCCAAATTTAAGGCCTTAAACATCCTTAAAAATGACAAATAATCCTTCAATACATTTTCCAAAGGTCTTACATTACCAAAGACCCAATAAACAAAATTATTTCATTTCTATAAAATTTTCGTGAAATTCTAGTTAGTGTTCAGCATTTTTTGTGTGTGATATTCACAAAATCGGACCCATACACGTTCAGTTGGTTGTGAAAGGGGGCTATTTTTAGATGAGCACATTAGCTGGTTAAGCTAGTGGGAGTTTGTGCCATGGGGAAGTGCAAGTTTAATGGTAACTGGATGGTTAATCCCACGTTCGTGACGTGGTTAGCACCGGTTCCAGGTAATAGCTGGAAATTATATCTTAAATTTGATTTAAAAAATAGCTTAAATTTGGTCAAGGTGGCCTTAAAAAAGGTCTTAAAAAGTCTTAAATTTGGCTCCCTTAAACCTGCAGATTCCCTGTTTTTAAACCAACATCCCATTCAGGACGAACCGTTAAGTCTTTAACACACTCACTTCTTGCCTCTGCTGATGTGTTGGTTTGGAAGAGTTAGCTGAGCGTGATGCTGAGTATTGCTAAATTCCTATCTGATGGGAATTAAATAGTTTGTTGTTTGCTCTGCAATCAACTTGATGTGTATTGTTAAATATGTGATTTGCTTGCAGAGGACCTCTTTGCCTCAGCTCTCATTAAGCTGTCCCTCTCGCCCGCCCATCACATCACACACTGCAGGAGCTAAAATAAGGTCTTTTTAACATGTTGTTGATTTGATTGCTTATTAAAGGCATACTATGCAAATTGTTCATAATTTAAAATGATTTTCTTGAGCCATTATGTGCTAAAATGACCCTTTACTCAGACCCTACCACCCCTTGTGGTCAGAATAGTGCACTTGCAACTTCAGAGTTGGCAGGCCGCAGTCTGTTATGTCCAGGAGTGCACATAATATTTTTGGGTTGTTACTCAGGGGAGAACCTATGGTTGCTGCTTGGTCCTCACATTTTTTAATGCACTTAATTCTTAACCCAACTCACAATAGGAACAAAACTGAGTAACGCGTTGATGATGCAACAAATTTTAATTTTGTCTGAAAACAATAAGTACAACAGGTACATAATGCCAGCTTAACTTAAACCTTCTAATTTTCAAATAACATGACTGAATTGTCTGAATGTAAAACACAGTGTGTAAACAGCTGCTTTTGTGATAACAAAAATCAAATAAAATAAATTTTAAAGCACTTAACAAAATTACTATTTCAGAGCACTGAAGTGTTTTAAATGGCATAAATGCCGTTTTTATTTCTACAGACTCTCATCATCCTCAGCATGGTCCTGACTGCGTTCAGCTTCATTATTGACTTCCCGAGCAACTTTCTGATGTTCTCTGCTGTTAGTATGTTTATCAAACGCTGGATGATTGAAGTTTTTAGTGCCTATGTAGAAGGCGCTGTTTTTGTCTGCCAAGGTGGGATTTTCATGGCATAATCTGCACCGCATCTCTGTGCGTTCATTGTTTGTTTGAAGCCAGCTGACCTCCTGCAGCCACTTCTCCGCAAATACTCTTTTCTTTTGCGGTTCCGACTCAGTCTGACGTTCTTTTGGAGGCGGAGGAACACCAAAATAATTACTTAATGGAGCTTGCTTTTTAGACATCTTTAAAATGCTCCAGAAATGTCTTCCTTCCTCCACAAAGTCTTAGGTGCGCAAATGCGTGCTGCAGCTTTTTTTCAGGTGCGCATTGTTTATTTTGACAGCGCATGCGCACCTGCGGACCACTTATGTGCACACCTGGTTATGTCCCACTTTAGTAATGTGGAGCTGACATGCCAGTGCTGGAGTCTGCTTCCAGTATGTTTTAGATCATAAACACAGCAGATTCATTTGATTTAGTGATGAACCGCTCCTGTAGACACCAATGAAGGCTGGGGAGACGTTTCAGCTGTTAGATGAAGTTGTTAAAAAGATGAAATCACAGCAAGAAGATAAGTTTCATTTCTGCTTTTACAACAGTGAATTCATAATGGACTCTAGGGGGGTGCTTAAAGCAAGCCAAAACTGCATCGTTTCCCCTGAACAATTTCTTCAACTTCCTGTGTTCGCATTTCTGTCCATCTTTGGAAATCATGTGGTTTGTCTAATGATTATTTTGCTAACATGTCATCATAAGTGCAACAAAAACACAAACACTCAAAACTCTGTGTTCTTTGAAGAGATTTTGCTTTTCATATATTTGCCTTGTTGTTTGATTTGTGAGTAGTTTTTGTTGCAAGTGCTTTATTACCTTTGACTCTTCATAAACTGTCAGCTTAACTGAGTTTAGCTGCACCCTACAATTTAGACAAGTGCGTGGTGGAAAGAAAAGTTTGCCCCGAGGTCGTGAGAGAAATAACACGATGATGAGCAATTTCAACACTCCGCAGCATCTCGCATTCCCAGGGGCGAAACCCAAGAGCTGAGCATTCACAGGTGCAAACCTAAACTGGCACACTCAAATAGTTCTTTAACTATACTTTTCTCATCCCACAACTGAAGCTTTTATTGTAGAGTTAGTGAAATGAAGCATATTCATCAATGTGATCGTTGTCACACAAGAAAACATTTGTGTATTCTCATGATGCATGACTCCTGTGTCACCGTGTGTGTTCACGGCTGATTGAACTGCAACACAGAAGGAGATAATGTCATATGAAATAGAGATTACTATTTTTTTCTTTTCAAGTTATATGATCTCCTGCAAAGGTGCACACGTCTGTGTCAGCAAGCAAACGGTAGATCAGCCTGTCTTATTATTTTCATCCTCATCTTTGTGCTCATTTGTCAGCACAGCCATGACTATCTGTGTAATTTAATAGGGCTGCTGATCAAATTTACTTTTGGGGGGGGGGGGGCTGTTCGCCGCTTCTCTCCCTCATTCATTCGTTTCATCCACCTGAATACCATAAAGACCTTACCTGCTGTGTAAAGCTCCCTCATGCTGTGCTCAGCAATGTGAGAGGTTAAGGTTGCACATCTGTCCATTTGTTCTTGCAGGGGTGATTCAAACTGCTTCGTGCACTCTGCCTGTTCCTACAGCTAGAAGAGAAAGACTTGTGCTGAGCAGAGGTGAAGTGACAGCTCAGATATAGAGAACATAACGTGTGTGTGTGTGTGTGTGTGTGTGTGTTGCCCATTCATCACTGTAAACAAGAAATCATGTTCTTGCACCCTGACAAATCATCATCCAGGCATACAGCACACACACACACACATGCCTTGTAGTCTGTCTGTGAGCTGGGAACAACAGCCACACACAGTTACAACTGTCCCAGACACGTTCCTGGTTTATTATGTCATGCTGTGAAATTTGTCTTGATGTCTTCTGAAGACCATGTGCACAAGACAAAGCTGCTGCATCTAATGCTGTGTTTTCTTTCTCTTTCAGTCTTATAAATCAGCCACTTTAATGAGGACAAGTAATGGGACATTTATTTTTCTGCAACTCCTTCCTGCTTTTAGTCATGAATTATGGACTTTGCAAGTGTTTTTATAGTTAGTCAAATCGTTGCAGCAGTACTGTATATTCTGAAGTATTGACTGTACCTGATAAAACTTTACTTACCTACAAGAAGGAGACAGGCTGCATAAATGGTCAACATACAAATGTAATCAAAGGAAAATAACAAAAATAAATATTGTTCAAATATGTGCTTCACTGAAAACACTTTTCTGTTGTTATTTCTGATTATAACTGGTCACTCTGAGGTTTTAACGCAGGCTGAACTTGAAAATAGTCTCCTACACCTACTTCCTGGGTTAGCTTCTGATAGAAAATAGATGATTTTGTCTCATTACTTCATGCATTTCAAGGCATTTTAAGTTTTATTATATCATTTAACCACATTTATGTGGTTAAATGATATAATAGTTAGATGAAACATAAATGTATTATTTTGTCGTATATGAACAAATATTTAAAATAATAAGTTCTCAAACAGAAGGCGGCTAAAAACGCCAAAGAAGCAACATGCCATTTATCCCGCTTACCAGCATGTTTTTACTTTTACTTCACAATCTGATCTGAATGTGTGCTTGTAGTGTTATAATAAACATCACCTTCTTGGACCAC